ACAGTGCATCTCACTTATAACATCTAACTAAGAGGCTGGAGCTTCAGTACAACGGTATTTGGTAAGGTATTTGCCTTGCATGTAGTCAACCTGGTTTTAATTCCAAGCATCCCATATTATCCTGAGTCTTCGAAGAGCACAGAGTCAGAAGTAAGCCCTGAGCATATCCAGGTATGAATTTTGTTTTGGGTTTTCTTTTCAAGCCAACTGTATTTTATGAATGTTTCTGAAGAACTTTCAACATCACCAATTCTGAAGCAGAACTTCAGAATTGTGCCCACAAAGTGGGTGATAGGGATTGCTTACATCGGCAGGACACTGTCAAGAAAGGCCGAGGCAACACCATGGACTTCAGAGCCTATTGAAATGACAAGATTTTCAAAACTTGGGAGATTAAAACACAAAACAAAACAGAAAAATCCTAAGCTATATTCAGTTCTTCACTCTGTGATTCAGAAAAAGAATTGCTGGCCCTGGATGAAATATTATAAATCTATCTGGTACAACCCCGGGAGTGTAGCTAAGCCAGACAGAGCCTGATTATATATCTATTGACATCGATGAAACGCACACCTGGCTATCATCTGACGAATCCAAGCATTTCTAGGAGTTAGCATAATCATTCAGAATTAGACTGTATTTGTGACATTTCATGTACCAATGGAGAGGACATCAGCTTTAATGCTCTTGCCTTAATTCTATATAAATTTTTAGACTTCCAAGTTCTAAAAATGGCATAAGATGCTTTGCAATTATGGAACTTAAAATAATAAAGAAAAATAATCAGATGAGGAAATCAAATGAGAGGCAAAAGGAAATCAGATCATTATGATCTAATGAACAAGGGCACGTTAGGATACCATCATGTTCAAGAGAGTTGTTCACTAAGTTCTATGCTTGTGAGCATGATTCTCAAATCTACTATCTATTGCCATGGATCCACTTCAGAAAATGCAGGACCACAAGTCTTCCCTAAAACATATTTGGGAGTAGCTGCCAGAGAAGAATTTCAGGAAGATGCATGGTGTGTCTACAGAGGGGTCATGACTCTCAGGCCCATACCAAGATCAAGCAATCACTGGAAAAGTGGGTACTTGGTGTTTTAGCTTCCATCACTTTGTGTGGAAATTCAATTGCAAAACTCAGAGGAAAAGGACAGATTCTTCTGTTGAGGTCCCCACATATTCCAGGATGACACAAACCTGAATTTCTCTCTCACAACACTTTGGGATTGTGAAGAATAGTGTTGAGTTCATTCAGGAAGAAAGGTCTTTTCCCAGGGGGTTTCGCAGACCAGTAAATAGTGATAGCAGTTAAGGATAAGGGAAAACAGTGCTCTAAAAAAAGTTTGAGAAACCCAAAACTAGACAAGCTCAGGGTCATCTGAAAGAGGATTTTTGATTTCTTTTACCATTGCAGTGTTGTGAATCTACAAGGGGTGGGTGTAAGTCATGGTTGTGGTGATAGATGCCATGTTCCAGAACTACACTGGACAGAGGACAATGGATGCTTCCCCTGTATCTTCATGCAAAATTAGAGAACAAGGGCACAGTCTGTAGAAGTTATTTCTTTTTCTGCATGTATCCTGGTTACAGGATTTACAGGTGACTTTGTCACACCCCTCATGTCTCCTCTGTATTCATGGCAGATTGATCTGAGAAGTATTGACTACAAGAACCACCATGTATACGACTTCAACTGTTCCCAAACTTGCAGATAGCTCTTTTGAACACTGGAGAGTGTGTTCACTATGCTGGACATGGAGATAAGAACTAACACTTAACTGAGTTGTCTTTCAGTCAAATTTACCCTGTGGAGACCATGTGTAGAAAGTCTTTCATTTACCACAGTCATTGAGTTGGGTACTGGCTTTGAACCGATAACAGAAGTGCAGATCAAGGTAGGAATTGCAAAGCTAGACCTTCAGATAGGGCAATTCCTCTAAAAGGAAGACACTGATTAGTCTGAATGCAGGACCAGCATCTTTACCCAAAGTGCTAAGAAATCAAGGTTCTAACAGGTACTGTTGCAACTAAGTATATAACCAATGACAGTATTTGAATTGTTTGAAAGGAAGATTCCATAGGTGATACTCCTGAAAGCACCATAATCAATCTAAACTCAGACATAAAGACAGCTCAAAATTAAGCCAACCATGACAAAGGGACACTTGGTTTAATTGGCATAACTTCCAAGAAAAAGTTATGCCCAAAACAGAAAATAATGGAGAAAATGAGTTAGGAATGGTTATTTGCTTGTGAGAATTTTTTTTACAAAAAAAAATCATATCCAGAAGCCTGTATAATATCCCTGATTACAGCATCAGTTTTCCCTCAGTTTTCAAAGATTCCTGAATGTATAAACCATGGTGGTAGAGCATAGTATAAAAAATTTAATAAGGACCATTTCATCCCCATGGAGGCCTTAAGAGCTCCACATGTACACCATATTGCTGGTTATGACTCTCCTGACTTTTCTTTCCTAACATCCATATGTCTAACAGTTGTCTGCATGCAGTCTTTGGCTACTAACTAAAATAAGAAATAATTCAAGGGGAAAAATGGTGAAAGAAAATACTTAAAGACAAGCAGTTTTTAAAAGTTTTCAAATAAATTCAAGTTAATTTTGATACAACTATAATCCAACACCAAGTTTCCTGAATCTAACTAAGAAGGGTGTTCTTTCGGCCCACCGAAAGAACAGATTGGTTAATTTAAATCTAAATGTAGGAGAATAAAAGAAAGAGATCCGGATATCCGAAATTATTAATGGCTCTTCCTCACCTTTCTTCACCATGTTACTGCTTTTGCCTAGGTGGGGTCCACCCTTTAGAGTGTCAACAACCTTATTAAGGGAGCACTGGGATTCCTCGTTATTCCCAACCTGCCATTCCCAAAGAGTAGACCTTGTTTGAGCTCTTTGCATAGCCAACAGTCATTTGTATTTGTGTCTTCTTCCCAAAACTGGGAGGTTTAATAAAGCAGAACAGCCTACATTGGTCACAGAACATCTGTATATATCTAACATGAAATGCTCAAGAAACACATTTGGGGATTTAAATGGCATTAAATTTCTTATAATCCCAGTATCTTAAAGAAAATTCACCAGAAACAGCCCACGGTTCTCTTCACAAAGTTCTGCACACACAAGAAAATGAAGTGTCATTTATTTCTGAAAACTCAGGGACATGGCAAGTGCTTTGTCCACAAATACTCTAATGCGCCTGACTCCTTATGGGTAAGATAACTAAAAGATTGACTAAGAAATGTTTAATTTATTCTTTTTTAAAATAATTTTTATTTAGTTAAAGAACCGTAACTTAAAAAGTTATTGATAGTTGAACTTTAGACATATAATATTTCAACACCAATCCCACCTCCAGTCTCAACTTCCCTCCACCATACTCCGTCTCCCAGCCCCCCCTCCCCTGCACTAACGTTCTGTCACCTTGACAAGCACATTACAAAGCTGCAATAACAGGAACTTTGTAATCTATTCTTTTAAGTGTTCTTAAAATTATATAGTCCCTTTTGTTGGCAGTTTTAATAAACCATTTTCTAAAATTATGTGGAGAGTTCTTCCTTATGTTTAATACTTTATTGATATATCTCCACCATGCGTACCTTGCGAGAAATTAAACATCAACAGTTTTTTAACACGAATTTCAGAGAGGAGGAAAAGGTGGGCCTTAAAACATAGAATTTAGGGGCCAGAGAGATAATAGGTAAGGCACTTGCCAAGCATATGGCCGACCCAGGTTTAATATACAGCACTATATATGGGACCCCTACCACAACCAGGAGTGATCCCTGAACACAGAGCCAAGATTAAGCCCTGAAGACAGTTAAGTGAGGTCCCAAAACCAAAACAAAATATAAAACATAGAATTAAGGTAGGTATATCAAGTAGCAGCTATTAACCTTAAATAATTACCCTCTAAGGGTCAATATTTTGACTTAGGTTTGTTAATGTAAAGAACAATCTGAGTGAAATTAACAGAAGGTATTTTCCAGGATCATTATTTACATTAAGCATTTCATAACTGTCAAACAACTTCAGGTCACTATCCATAAAAATGTAGCTATTTCATAAAAATGTAGCTATTACATAAAAATGTAGCCAGAGAGATAACTCAACAGGCTGAGTGCATGCACTTCAGCAGAAGGCCTGGGTTCAATCCCCAGAACTCCTTGATCCCATGGAGTCTACTAATTGAATTTTCATTAAAACAGTACTTAAGTAAAAGGTTATTCATAAATAATTTTAGAATCTAGCTGATGAAGGAGAACATAACCCTGCTCAAAATCATGTACCCTTAAGAATTGGGTCTGCTATAATGCCCAAAAGTAGAGAGAGAGTATGGGGAATATGATTTTCCATGGAGGCAGGGGGAGGGTGCGAAAGGGGGAATACCGGGGATAATGGTGGTGGGGAATGTGAACTGGTGAGGGATGGGTGTTTGATCGTTGTGTGATTGTAACACAAACATGAAAGCTTGTAACTATCTCACGGTGATTCAGTGAAATTTTAAAAAAGAAAAAAAAAAGAATTGGGTCTGCTTTCTAAATTACTACTGTGCATATTTCTACTTCTAACACCAAGAATTGTATCATGAGTGTAGTGTTGTAAAATCCCTCCTGATTTTGATTTTCTGTTTAAAAAGAATAATGCAGTTAAGTACATTTTAAAGTAGCAGCTTGATATTAGATTTCATGTATTAAAGAGCAAACATAACCACTCCATTTCTGGTTATAATAATTTCTGCAGGTTAATAATAAAAGAGCTTGGTAGTGTAGTATGTCCTTCAGGGTATTTTTGTCAAGAGAAACTTGCCACAAGCATGAGGAACACAAAAGCCTTTTAAAAACAATGAGTTCTGACTCCCTATCACCAACAATCAAGGGACAGTCCCTCACTCTGGAAATTTCTCGTCTGTTAACGTCTGTTAAATCACAAAGTTAAAGTTAAAGTTAAATCACAGTTCATTCAAGAGTGCTTACCTGGTAATTTGTGTTCTTGTGCTGAAGTCAAGAGACCTCATTGAACGTAGAACTTCAATGCACCCCAAGTACTGTAGAGAGAAAAGAATGGAAATTATGAGCCCCAACGGCCTGAAGACACTATTCTTAACTACAAGTGCATTTTTGGAAGCCACACACATTTCTTAAATCACATCTTAATTCTATGTTCATGGTGATACTTTGTTTCTGTAGCAGCCTTTCATTACTTATAGCCATAAGAAAATATCCTAAGGACTGGGATACAGTATGGTGGTTAGGGTGCATGCTGACCCAGTTCAATTCCCAGCACCACATCACCCTCCCCAAGCATAAGCACATGTAGCCCTAGAGGCCCCCATCACTGCTAGGGTGGTCTGGGTATCCCCAGAAGTGCAAGACCGGAACAGCATCACACTCTCTAGCTCTTGCATTGAATCAACTTGACCAAGAATCACTGGTGGAACTCTCGAACTTCCTGAGACCTTTTTGAGAAAACCTCTCATACCCAATCACTCAAAAAACATCCTGAGTGTTTAGATGAAACTACAGTTAACTTTTCTGAGACCCAAATTTTCATTTTATTTATAAAAACGTTAAAATTTTATTCAAGTAGAACTTATAGACTTTTTTTAATACAGAAATATTTAATGCAGTATTCAAGGATGATTTTAGCATATGTCTGCCATGTAAATACCAGCCAAACTTTGTCATTTCAAAAGTCATACTTCTAATGTTTTATTAGGCATCTAAAGGTTTACAGCTTTAGAAGAAAAATTTAAAAACACTATGAAACAACATGAAACTATTATTTAATAAATTAATCTCTAGGTTTCATAAATAAACTAGATCTCTCTCAAAATGCTTTATGCACCAGGAATACAGCTCAAGTGGCATATAGGGCAGATGAAAGGCCCTGGGCTTGATTTTCAGCTCCAAACACCACACACTACTATGTGTGGCCCTGGCAAACCTAGAGCAACAGGCAACACAGGGTGTGGGTAATAGTTTAAAAGCTGTTTTTTTCCTCCTGGATATCAGAAAGTCTTCTTAGGCATTATTTAACAGATTTTTAGAAGTACGATTTTTATTCCAAATTTGAGGTCATTGTCTATCAATTAGACAAATGAAAACATGTGTGAATATAAGAAAGTAGCTAAATCTATGCATAAACAGCTTCATTGACAGATACAATAATGGTGTTCTCAATCTTTAGAGAGATTGAGTGTACACATGTTTTATGCTGATGACTTTAATTGTCAGTTGAGTAGGAAGAGATTTTGCAGACTAGTATCAAAAACTTGATTTGAATTTGAGTCTGAGTTTGTTATATCTGCTGTGTAACTTACAGCAAATTTTAAAGTTCTTTCAACATAACTCTCCACACTTATAAATGTTACTATTACTCTTTGACCACTACATGGCTACATTGAATAATCTCCAGGATGTGACAACATCATCATATATGTGCATTCTATGACCAACGAGTAGTACGAATTATACAACCACTAACACTGCACATTGTTCTGTGATTACAGGCTCATGTGAAAACCAGGACCTTGCAATTACCACCAAAGTCACAGAACTACACAAATACCATCATCAGTCACCAAGTTATGTGAATACCATGAACTCGGTCACAAGTGACCACCTCCAACAAAACTGTAGTGATATGAGACCCATGATCACTAATAAATATCATCAAAAGCATCAGAGAATGACCTGAACACCACATCAGCATCATAGCTCTGGGACAAGTAGGGTCAGCTTCAGAACTCAATGAAAAATGACCATTGAGTTACAATTAGGTGAAAACTAAGATGAACTTCACAAGCTATATGGTGAGCAAAACTGGCACTGTGCAAAGAATATATGTGAACAACATGATCAAACTCAAGAGTTTTAGGAATAGTACCAGTAACAATGTCAAAAGATGACATTAATGCACTACAACAGTTGCAAATTATGTGTATGTAAACAACACCAAGTAACAGATACATAGGTGTCCAGTACAGTGTCACAAAGCTATGTGAAGATAACTAATAATGTGGTTATGGGAATATCACCATCACCATTAAACTATACCAGGACCTATACTATTGGATTATATGACCACCATAACTAATATTATAGGGTTATGTAAATACCAGAACTAATACCAAGGATTATATGACTACTATTACTGGCACCATAGGGTAATGTAATTACCACAACTGACACTGCAGCACCATTTTGATCCTGTCATTTCTAAACTACTGTTGCAATTATGTAACTACCATGAAAAAAAATCATAGTTTAATGAATTCATCATCATAAAGGGAATATGTTGTGCACAATGCAAACACCAATGTTGCAGAGTTGCATAAATACCACCAAGCTGCATAATGATGTCAATACCTTGACATATGTCACAGGGTGATATAAACACCTCCACCAGCTAGAATTGTGTGAATTACCAATGTAACAAATACAACCACCAAGACCCCAAAAGTTGTATATATGAACTCTGTATACAAACACTGTGATTGTTGGTTATGTAAACACCACCAACAAAAGTAAGAGAAAGCTATGAAATTCCATGGCCCACATTGTTATGTAGACACCATGACACAGTCATGTTAATACTTCACTACTCTCACTGAGTTCTATGAAATCAACTGCCAATGCCATCAGCAAGTGATATGGTTACTACTATGTTGCAGTGCTATATGAATGTGTACCACCACAAGCTGATAAGCTTATGATAAACTCACAACTAATTCTATTCACACACCTGTGAATACCACAGTAATATGGTTGCCACCATATTCACATAGTGCATAAGTACATAAATCCCACAACCAACGATGCAATTCCTCAAAGGACCTCACCATCCGTATCTAAGTAAGTTTATTTCTCTCTGTCCATAAAAATATGATTAAGATCAATCTCTGGAATTTTTCCTTCCTATACACAAAAGTATCTAATTTTTGCTTGAATTTACATTTTCCTCATATCGAATAAGTTTACATGATTTTTCTCCCTGTTTATTAGCTACTTGTATTTCTACTTTTCTGTTGACTTGATGTCTTTAGCCCACTCTTCTATGAGGTTCCTTATGTATCTGTCACAAGTTAATGGAATGTTAATCTCCTATTAAATTGCTTTTTTCTTCAATAGCTTCAACATTTTATCTAACACAAACCATTACTGTAGTGATATCATAATTACTCTAATCACATACAATCACATTTAATTTTTCATGGGATAATCTTTAGAAACAGTCTCCTAAATTTTATTTTAATTTTATATATTTAGCTTTTTGTATTCACTTATTCAACTATCTTATTTAATGCTTTTTATTTATCTTTTAAATGTTTATAATTCTTCCATAGGACATAGATTGAGTTATAACTCTCAGTCTCCCGATGTTATTTATATACATTCCACTGATTAAAAAAGTCATCCATTTCTTCCCAAACTGATGTCCCAGATATATTGGATTCCTTTTCTGAATAAACCTTTACCTGAATTTTATCCCATTACACCTCTTTAGTCAATTACTATGTCCCTTGCTTCTATTCTTTTCTAAGAATTTTTAAATTAATACTAGACTATGAAATCAACCCAAGTAGCCAACAACAACAGATGAGTGGATGACAAAAATGTAATATACATACAAAATAAAATACTGTGCAGTTACAGGGAACTATGAAATCATGCAATTCACTGCAATTTGAATGGAACTGGAGGGTAACTGAAACTGGAAGATAATTTGTTTTGTTAAGTGAAGCAAAGACAAATACAGAATGATCTCTCACTTATCTGTGGTATACAGAGTAACAGGACAAGGGATGTAAAATATCAGAGGATACCTAGATTATCCTTGACCCTAAGAGTATAGAAATGATAAGAACAAGGAAAGAAAGAAAGAAGGATGGAAATAAAAAGACGTGGGCAGGAAGTAGAGGGACAAGGGCCTAGGGCCTCAGGCACATCAGCGATATAGAGCTTTGGTATATGTATATACCTCAGTCACAGACTCCAAAACGCTGTAATTATGAGCTCTGAACTACATTAGTCAGCTTTAAAATGTGCCTATTGGGGCTGGAGAGATAGCATAGTGGGTAGGGCGTTTGACTTGCATGCAGCCGACCTGGGTTCGATTCCCAGCATCCCATATGGTCCCTTGAGCACTGCCATTGAGTAACTTCTGAGTACAGAGCCGGGAGTAACCCCTGTGCATCGCCAGGTGTGACCCAAAAAGCAAAATAAATAAATAAAATAAAATAAAACGTGCCCATTGGACCCCTATGGCACATTCCTTACACAAAGTTTATCCAAGTTTAAACCTGGAACCACATAGGATTCCTCAAGGCTCTGTAGGGAGATCCCTGTGCACAGAGCCAAGAGTGAGATCCAAGCACATCTAAGGAAGGCTTGGGGAAAAATGTTCCTGTTAAGGAGTTAGATTAGGGGATGGAAGTAAACATGGGAACACTGGTGGGGAAAAGTACATAGTGGTGGGGGCATCAATGTTGGAATGTTGGTGGCATTGTATGCCAGAAACTCTATTTTGAACAACTTTGCAAATCTTAGTGCCTTCTTTTAAAAGCTTTTAAAAACTACGTTGTTGGGGTTGGAGCCATAGCACAGAAGGTAGGGCATTTGCCTTGCACGCGGCTGACCTGGGTTCGATTCCCAGCATCCCATATGGTCCCCCAAGCACTTCCAGGAGTAATTGCTGAGTGCAGAGCCAGGAATAACCCCTGTGTATCTCCAGGTATGACTCAAAAAGCAAAAATAATTACTTCGTGATGTTCCCTCACCCCTCAAAAACTATTTGGGGGAGTATGGTGCCACCAGCAGGTCAGTCTGTACCTGTGAGGCGAGTGTATCAGCAGCCTGATGGTGCCTTCAGACTTCCAGATACCCCCAAATTGCTGCTGTGCCTTTGGCCAGACCCCAAAAACTTGGGGCAAAGTTCACCAAGAAAGTAAACAGCCAAAAGTAAGGTATATGGGAGACACACCCACAAACCACCTCCAGCTCAGCTATATAATTGGAGGCATGGCCTCTCTGGTTCCTGATCGAA